AAATTGCCCACCTCCGCTATAAGTTTCTATCTGCGTCTCTCAGCCTCGCTGAATTAACAGTGACATGTCTGAGGTTGCGCGGGCGCATAGTCGCCTTCTGAATTACGACTGTCCAGTACTTAAGTGTTGTATCGAGATACACTCCTCAATCATGGTTCACATCAACTTGCACTAAAATGTTTTTTAAAATCAAACACATCTTTCAAAACAATTGGGTGCAAGGCCCATTTATGTTTTTTTTCAGCCTACTATTATTATTTTTTGGAGCTATTTAATGTTTTATCAAATTGAGAGGATTGTGCTGGCGAACTGCCACTCCCCCTCCTCACCGGAGGGAAATGGTGAGTGGAACTATTCACCTGCGCAATCCGCACCCACCCGGTGTGTTAAAAAGGACGGACACAAACACTTCAGAGTGAGTTCAAGCAGGACAAGCAGGGATCGCAGCGCACGATCCACGCAAGTAGAAGCAACAAATACTGTGCAAAACAAACTCTTCTACAACCCCATGAAAGAAGCCGGTAAGCGCCGTCCTCACTCGCGATCATTGAATGTCAGAACTTACGCGGAGTTTTATGATGCGTTCAAGAGCCCTTTGGAGGAGCGGAAACTCGGACTCTTTAACAGTTACTTTGTTTTGATTATTTATAAATGTTGTACTGTGTTTAGGCAAAACAAAACAAAACTCCAGGAAAAAATCATGGTTAACTAGTCTGATTTTGTTAGTTTAATATTCAGTTCACTACTAATTGAGAATACTTGTCCTATGTTAAAACAGAGTTAAAACCTGATCATGTTTAGAAAATGCAGTTAGCAATTATGTTCCCAAATTCATTACTTAATGTTAAAATGTATTGTTTAAAAGTGTGCTAAAACCAGATCTATTGATCAGTGATGTCTCCCCTTTTTGATAAAAGCTAAGATAAAGTAATATGATTCAAATGTAGTTAAAAACTTTTGTTCAAAATAAATATATGAAAATAGACTTGGAAATTGCTTTGGCTCAGTGCAACAGAGATAATAAAAAAAGAATAAAAAACACTTCTAAGGAATAAATTCAAATTTAAAATAGAGTTACAGTTACTATTTACAATATACAAGTGCACATGGTGCACACAAAATGTATGTTTCTGTTCTCTTTTTGAGGTTTTATTATATGATTTTAACCTTTAAATAAGCCATGACAGAAAATCTCCCTCCTCTGGACCCTGATTACCCGACCGGAATCTTTCCGTACTGTAGTCTCCTCAAACCTGCATATTTCCCTGGAGTCTCCATTTCACTAAGACTGTGTTGATTTAATTCATTCAGCTGTGATTTGCACTGATAGACAATAATTAATGCATTTAAAAGAACTTGATCAAATCTACATTTATTTGTGTTTCATGCATAATATTGGTGTATTTGGCCCGCGGCCCACTGGCAAATTTTTACTTTGGCCCTTGGAAGCAAAAGGTTTGGGCACCCCTGACATAGACAGTATTTGGGTTGCGTGTTTGCCCGTAAGTGGCCTTTCGTCTGATTGGCCGCCGTCTGGGATTAAAGCTAAAGCTGTGTTTTTCAGAAGTCAGGGCTCAGAACTGCACAGGTAGAACAGCAGACATGACGCTCTGCACGACCAAGCCTTTATGGAACTCATGACTCCGGTAAAGCATGGGCATTGGGAGCTCCTTTGCACCAAAGTCTGATCAGATCTTCACAATCAGGTATGTTTAGTCTGTAGAGAAAAAAATACACTTGAATCCTCCACTGATATTTTTGTTTTTTGGCTTCAAACTGACTGTATCAAACTCTTCAGGCGCCAAATGAGATCCTGAATCTTTCTAGACAGTTACATAGCCTCCTACCCATGTTTCCAGCGCTACAACTTACAATTGTTTTGATATTTGAGTAATTTAGCAAGTATTTCTTCAATGAATTGATTAACTGATCGGGACACGACGCAGTGATTTTCATTTAAATTTCACACAGACAAAGTTGAAGTGAAGTTGATGGAGGACTTTTTGATAGATGGCATTTTTAGACCAATAGTGTGGAGAAAATTAGGTGGAGATTTTGTCCTAATTATAATTATTTGAGTTGAGATTTTGTAAGTTGTTCTTGTGTTATAATCAGGTTTTGTTTTTGGTCGACAACTTTAGCCATAAACTATTGATTTATTGTGAATTATCGCTACAGCCCTAAATATTTACCTACATTTTATATATATGACATCAATTTAAAAACACATAATTCAAATATTTTTATTATTATTATTAATTTTTCTTTTTTATTTAGCACAAGTTCAAAACATAAATGACTATATACAACATATTAGAGGCGAAGGAGAGGAACGGCGAGGGAGCGGCGATTTTTAACATCCAATAACTTAAAATTAATTCGATTTTTTTTTAAAAATAATTATAAAAAGCAAAACAAGTACTGTCATAATATTTAGGTGTTAATGTATTTGTAAGTTTGTAGTTTTGATTCAGTTATATAATTTATGTGTATTTTGTGTGTGTCTTACGTAGTGCATTAAAAATAAACTGGGCTTGTTTGTAGCCCTGCCTCTGTTGGGGTCTCCTCCCCCAAATAGCAGGGGCATGGAAGAAATGTTAGTGCTTTTTTAAAAACATTTGTATTCATTTATTTGACAGAGACATTGCAAGACAACATAGAACAAAACAAGCTCTCCATCTTCTTCTGTTTGTTATAAAGTTTCAGGGCATCGAAGAAGAATAAATTATATCTTCGAAAAACAAAGGGTAGAGAGTGCTGCGTGGTACAATCGTGTCAAATTATTAAAAAGACCGGGGCTCAATTGGAAGACAGGTTTAACTCAGTAACAAAAAGTTCAGTGTTGACTTTCTCGGTAAAAGCAAGTTATGAAGAGGTTAGAAAGTCAGAAAAATCCAAGGCACCTGTGGTTTTGACTTTTTAAGGTTCATAACTTGCCTTTACCGAGAACATGGGTGTCAAAGTCAAGGCCCTCAAGACAGTTTTTAGTGGCCCCTAAAATTATGTGTTATTATTATGGAATTGCTGCATTGATGGTTAAGAGCGTCCAAGGCAGGTTTTACAATATAAAATGTGTTTAACTTTATATTTGATCCAGTTTTGGTTCAATCTAAACAATAAACACATTTTGTTTTCGGAAAAATAAACCAGAAAATAACAGTGAAACTCAAGTCACATTAAAGTCATGTTCAATGTTCATGTTTTTTACATTATGATCTATTGTTTCGGCCCCGACCAGTTCCTATTTTTGTAATCGGCCCCTGACCCAAAAGAGATTGACGCCCCTGTAATAGAAAGTCAACCCACTTTTTGTTAAGAAGCAGATATAGTTTAGGGTTATCTTAGCCCTGTTTACACCAATCTGCGGTTTCTTTACTCTGAAAAATGAAAACATCCTTTTGAAACCTCTTCTGTGATAAATCCCGGATGCATCTCGCCATCGGTCCCATCGGTCCCATCTCAGTCCCATCGGTCCCATCTCAGTCCAATCGGTCCCATCAGTCCCATCTCAGTCCCATCGGTCCCATCGGTCCCATCAGTCCCATCTCAGTCCCATCTCAGTCCAATCGGTCCCATCTCAGTCCCATCTCAGTCCCATCTCAGTCCCATCGGTCCCATCGGTCCCATCGGTCCCATCGGTCCCATCAGTCCCATCTCAGTCCCATCAGTCCCATCAGTCCCATCTCAGTCCCATCGGTCCCATCAGTCCCATCGTTCCCATCGGTCCCATCAGTCCCATCAGTCCCATCAGTCCCATCGGTCCCATCGATCCCATCAGTCTCATCAGTCCCATCTCAGTCCCATCGGTCCCATCAGTCCCATCTCAGTCCCATCGGTCCCATCTCAGTCCCATCTCAGTCCCATCAGTCCCATCAGTCCATCTCAGTCCCATCGTTCCCATCTCAGTCCCATCTCAGTCCCATCAGTCCCATCAGTCCCATCTCAGTCTCATCGGTCCCATCTCAGTCCCATCAGTCCCATCTCAGTCCCATCGGTCTCATCGGTCCCATCAGTCCCATCTCAGTCCCATCTCAGTCCCATCGGTCCCATCTCAGTCCCATCGGTCCCATCTCAGTCCCATCTCAGTCCCATCGGTCCCATCGGTCCCATCGGTCCCATCGGTCCCATCGGTCCCATCGGTCCCATCAGTCCCATCAGTCCCATCGGTCCTATCGGTCCCATCTCAGTCCCATCAGTCCTCTCTTCAGATCGCAGATTAGCATTCTCCTGGGGTCATGTTGTCTGATTGTGTGTCGCAGAGTGAGCTTGGCCCCAAAACAGAACCATCTTCCCACGGAGCCATCTAGTTATATTTGATTTGCGATCTGATACGTATGCTAACATTAGCATTAGCACAAAAGTGATGTCACATTAGTTTCAGCGACGGAGAAAGGTGTGTCTATGGTTGTTAATATTTACAGTTGGGTTAGGTTAGGTTGGCTTTATGTCTATCTGTGTGTGTGTCTGTGTGTGTGTGTGTGTATGTGTGCGTGTGTGTGTCTGTGTGCATATGTGTGTGTGTGTGTGTGTCTGTGTGCGTGTGTGTCTGGGTGTATGTGTGTCTGTGTGTATGTGTGTGCGTGTGTGCGTCTGTCTGGGTGTATGTGTGTGTCTGTGTGTGTGTGTGTCTGTGTGCATGTGTGTGTGTGTGTGTGTGTGTGTGTGTTTATGGTTGTTGATATTTTTAGTGTGTTTTTGTGCCTGTGTCTGCGTGTGTGTGTCTGTGTGTGTGCGTTTATGGTTGTTGATATTTATAGTGTGTCTGTGTGTGTGTGTCTGTGTGTGTGTCTGTGTGTGTGTGACCATTGAGGAATGAGCAAAGGGTTGTAGATGACAAGAAAGACAGCAATGGTGGTGGTTGCCTTGACTAAAATTAAACCAGGGCAGAATTGCAGAAAGGACCAGATTTTTTTTGTAACCAAGTCTTCCTTATCGAGAACTTACATACGTTCAGCAGTCTCCTTGGGGTCATGTTGTGATCATCTGATTGTGTGTCGCAGAGTGAGCTTGGCCCCAAGACAGAACCTCCCGCGGATCATCCTCAAAGGCATCTTCCAGGGAGTCAAAGTGGTGCGCGGCCCAGACTGGGACTGGGGCAACCAAGACGGTGAGTGTCCCGCAGCCTCTGGCCTCTCTTCTCTTTGGCACCGGTGCATCTGTAATCGGTCAGCACTAGATCATATACGGAATCGGGACGGAAGCGGAAGCCTAAACTTAATCAGCCCTTCCCATAAAATACCCCTAACCCACCCTTAACCCTAACCTTAACCATCTTACTCAGACCACCTTAACCCTAACCTTAACCATCTTACTCAGACCCACCTTAACCCTAACCTTAACCATCTTACTCAGACCACCTTAACCCTAACCTTAACCATCTTACTCAGACCACCTTAACCCTAACCTTAACCATCTTACTCAGACCACCTTAACCATCTTACTCAGACCACCTTAACACTAACCTTAACCATCTTACTCAGACCACCTTAACCCTAACCTTAACCATCTTACTCAGACCACCTTAACCATCTTACTCAGACCACCTTAACCCTAACCTTAACCATCTTACTCAGACCACCTTAACCCTAACCTTTACCATCTTACACAGACCACCTTAACCCTAACCTTTACCATGTTACTCAGACCACCTTAACCCTAACCTTAACCATCTTACTCAGACCACCTTAACCCTAACCTTAACCATCTTACTCAAACCACCTTAACCCTAACCTTAACCATCTTACTCAAACCACCTTAACACTAACCTTAACCATCTTACTCAGACCACCTTAACCCTAACCTTAACCATCTTACACAGACTACCTTAACCCTAACCTTTACCATCTTACTCAGACCACCTTAACCCTAACCTTTACCATCTTACTCAGACCACCTTAACACTAACCTTAACCATCTTACTCAGACCACCTTAACCCTAACCTTAAAGACCTTATGACGGGTTTGATTTATTTAGAAATACAGTTTTAATACCATTTTATATTAGAAGATAACTACTAAAGGTTTCAAAATCAGTTGTTGTTTTTTTTGTCTGATCCCCCAAATCGAAATAACCCCATAGCAACGCCCTTAGAAACGAAAAAACTTCACAGCCCTTGGTGACGTCAGAACGGGTACGTTTCAACGCTGTAAGTTGTTTACAATTTGGTATTCGTTCTTTTTTCGCGGATATTCAAGATGACAAGGCCGTGTACAGCGAGTCTAAGATAACTACTAAAATGTATTATTTCGTTGTCACTGAGATAGTCCAGTGGTTGTGTCGATGGACTGCCAATCCAGATACTTGGGTTCAAATCCCACCTCGGGCACTTTTTCACACTCAAAACAGAAATTTATGTGTAGTGAGCAATTGTCACCTGTAGAGGGCAGTATTGTGTTGGGCATCAGTGGAGAGAAGAGAGAAAAGGCATAGATCCATGGTTTTCAATGCATGGGCGTAACCCGCTATGACGTCACACACAGGTTAGAGCATAGACAACTTAAATTCATGAAAAACACGTTCTTTTTATAAAATATAGGATTTTTTTGCCGGAATCTCTTTCAAATTGACATTGTCATGCAATTTTGATATCCACTATTTTTTTTAAAAAAAACCCGTCATAAGGTCTTTAACCATCTTACTCAGACCCACCTTAACCCTAACCTTAACCATCTTACACAGACCACCTTAACCCTAACCTTTACCATCTTACTCAGACCACCTTAACCCTAACCTTAACCATCTTACACAGACACCTAAAACTTTACCAGTCTCCACTTAAGAACTTATTAGTCTAAAACTAATTTGAAAGTAGGATTTCTACTTCCGGTTTCGTCCCGATCCCGTATATCCAGTGCCGACCATCTGTAATGGTGCTGTTTGAACGAGTCAGTCAGTCTGCTCCGCACATGTTTGTCCCTTTGCTGGTTTCATAGTAAAGACAAATACGTTGTAAAAAGGCATTCCTGTGGGGACTGGAGATTTTATGTTCAAGCTGCTAGTTTTTGTGCATTCCATCTTAAATAGACTTTTTTGTCCACATACCCCCACCATACTCTCACACACGCTTATGAAAGGGGCTGTATGTAGTACGCACTCTTAGTGGTCTAATAGTGCCATTGAGATGACTATCTTCCAGCCTTTTACACATTTACCTCCTAAGCACTGATTAAACATGTGGTCTACCTTATATAAATTTTTCACATTTTGTTTTTGATTGTGAATTTTGAAATGCCACCAAAAAAAACTGGCAACCCAAATGAAAAACCCATTCTGCTCTCTGATTGGATGATAAGGCAATATGATTTGTACATGTCAATAAATAACCTTGAAATACGTAAAATAGATAGATACATAGATAGATGGGTGGATAGATAGATACGTTTACTTATAATAATAATACTTTATTGACAGATTAGGGCCTTTTAATGATGACAGATTATCCCAGTAGGAGAAATTCTGGGATTTTACACATAAGTACATACATTATAAACATTTCCAACTAACTAACAATTTTTAACATTTTTAGAGATGTGTTTTAGAAAGAAAATATGACCTACTGTCCCTTTAAGTACGTCCTTTTACCTTCTGTATGTAACCCCTTCTGACTACTAGCCTATTACATTCTTATTACACGTTTATTACTTAGTACTTACTGTGTTATAACAATATTCTGAGATTTTGTAGCTTCTCGTTTGTTCTACTTGGTTTACGTATTATTTTATGACACAGGGGTTACATGGTCTTAAACAACATACTGTATTCATGTTTTTTAAGTGTTCTCGAAATGAATATAATTTTGTTTTTTATGTTTTGTTGACATATTCCAGTCGTATCCATCATATACTGCATCTACTCTGTGTTTACCACATTTTTCAGTCACACAATATTGTCCTGACTGTTTTGTCTTGATCTTGTTTGTTGATTTTTGTTGCATACCTGATGAATAACTATGTATTAATCAAGCTATTTACATAATCTGCACATTTTTGGTTAAGCAGGAGCACGTTTTTTGTCCCAATTTTATCGACTAGAAATGTGGTTTTCTTAAGCTTATGTGATGTTGTTTGTGTTTATTGTGTCTGGTGTGCGCGGATGGTCTCAGGCGGGGAGGGTAAGGTGGGGAAGGTAGTGGACATTCGTGGCTGGGACACTGAATCCGGACGCAGTGTGGCCAGTGTCACCTGGTCCAATGGCACCACCAACGTCTACCGCATGGGCCACAAAGGAAAGGTAGACCTCAAGTACGTGTCTGACGGACAAGGAGGGTTCTACTACAAGGAGCACCTTCCCAAACTCGGTAAAATGGACTGATATACTGGGAAACCATATTTACATACACTAATCACTACAAGTTATGGATGTTTGGCTTTGGCAGTGGAATTTTGTGATGAGCTGCTAGAGATTCAGTACTTACCCAAAGAGGTTAATTGCTACATTTACAACCGATAAGAGTTCTTGCTTCAGGGATAATTCGTATTGATTAGGGTTAGGGTTAGGGTTGTCCCCACTGTGGAAAATATAGGATCTCTTAATCTTAATCTGATACGTTTCACCCCTCGTGACCAGTGTGGGCAGGTCCCGGCTCCAAAAGCTCCATGAGCATGTGCGCTGTCATGCTGCAGTCTTACTCCAAGCCGGAAAGAGAATTACTCAATGCTTTTGGAACCAAGTTTTCACAATCGAGAACTTACATACAGTACGTTCATGCATGCTCACATTTTATTAAAGCAGTTTCCAAAGTGCTGCACAGAGATACAATTAACACATTTAAAAATGCAAGTTTGCAAGCCTTTTGTTTAGAAAGAATAGAAGTAACAATATGCACAAAGTAAAAACAATGCAAATGTTAAAAAAACATTTGCATTTGACCCGGAAGCCGACCATCCATAACTTTAGTGCACAGTTCACATAAGTACCATGAGTGAGTCTCTATCTTTTTGTACGTGTCCAGGAGAGCACGCAGAGCTGCAGCGGCAGGAGAGTGCGGACGGACACTCGTTTCAACAGGGAGACAAAGTCAAGTGTCTCCTGGAGGTGGACATTCTGAGGCAGATGCAGGAGGGCCACGGAGGCTGGAACCCCAAGATGGCCGAGGTGAGCGCCGCCTTTTCACTGGTCCTTGCTTCTGAGGTCGTTTTTGTTTTTGCAAATGCTTTGGTTTGAAATTAGCAGTATGTAAAAATGTGGCCCAAAGTGGTACTGCAGCCTTTCCCACTCTCCCTGACTCAGGTTGCCAGATATGCAGACGAATCCAGCTGGGACCATAACAGCTGAATAGACAAGAGTTTTGTCAACAACAAATCTATAACCAACACCTTTTTCACCAAGATAGAAATTCTGGTTTTATTCCTTGTTTTGTTGTTAATGATTTGAGAATCATAACGAGACCTTTTTTAGTTCTGCGCCACATGGTACTTTACCAGTGAGATTAGCTCCACGTGGTGAGTTCTGGCGCCCGGATCACAGACTTTCTGATTGGTGAAACGGAGGAGGGCGAGACATCGAAATGAAAACAATAACCAGATTTAGAGGCTGGAAAACAAAAATATCTCTGAACTACTGTTATCAGTTAAAGAAGTATTGGAAAAGAGCAGGTTTTATGAATGCCTTTGAACAGATTAGGGCCCTTTAATGATGACAGATTACGGCCCTTTAATAATGAAAATCTTACATATTGCTACTTTAAGATACAGTACATGGCACAAAGGACTTTTTTGCTTTTGGAAAATAATAACTGAATGTAATCATCAATTCAATGCAATTATAGGACATTGTGTGAACAGACATCTGCTAAGTTATGTATCTATTTCAACTATATTTAACTATATAAATATCAAATATATTTAATTTTGCACAGCTGAATAACACAGCAGCAGTTGTCTCAAATGAAAACATTGACTTGCAGATTACTAATTAGAAAAGGAAACGGTAATTTGCCAAATGAACCAACTAAGCAAATGGATAAATCTTCTTTGGCAAAAAACCCCACAAACAAACAACCTCCCAATCCCAGAGCAGTTCACATCCAGACTCTACAATCACAGAGTGAGTCCGTCCTTTCAGCTACAGTAGATTACACAATAAAAAGCATCTTAAAACATGCCCGTCAGGCCCTTGAAGCAGCAGGCCGTCTATAAAAGAACAGTAAAATAAGTTCAAGGTGTAGAGCAGGATTCTCTACTTCCTTCTGGTGATACGTCCATAAGCCCAGAGAGTTTACTTCAAAAAGTAGAGAGGGATAGCCTGGTCGTACCACACCATAGTACAAATTACATTCAGTACTAAGGTCTGGATTTGCTTCATTGACTCCGTTAACAGGTGGGAGGGGTTAATTCCTTTTGCAGATTGAAACCTTTGGATCTGAGTTTACTGTGACGTATGTAATGCGCCCGAGTGAGTCGTTAGCATTCAGCATTTAACCTAGCTTTAGCCATCTCCTTTAACTGCTAACGGAGCCCGTGGAGTAGCGCCACAATCTTTGCCAGTGATTACATTTGCTAAACATTCTTCTTGCTCTGGCTTCAATTTTGTGACAGAACTAAACCAGAATATTTTACTATCACACTCTTCGTCAAACTACAACCTGCCCGTTCGACGCAAACTCTTGACGTCACCCACAACTAAGTACAACACCCGCCTCCCGCCCTCTCTGATTGGTCGGATGGAATTCAACCAATTGTAATCACAAACACAGGGACCAGACCAGACCCAGAGATGCAGGAAATGATGATTGAGCGGAGAGTACGGATGGATAAGACCAGGCTAGGAGAGGGAGGTTCTTTCCTAAAATTGTATATCTTTAAGAATTGTCTTGTTTATATTAAAATATTTCCTCGACAGGTTTTCTGCTGCTCCTGTGTACAATCAAGACACTACTCACCTCCTGAATATATATGTTTTTGTTATAATTCTATAGCGAAGGCTGAAGTTCATGATGTAACTTCAATAGTTTTGGTCTGTGGATGCCCCGGATAGCCAGCTGTTCTCTGCCCCTGGAGGTCAGAGGGGTTTGGGGGTAACTTATGTCGTCTCTGTGTTCCCAGTACATCTGCCGGATCGGGACGGTTCACAGAATCACTGACCGAGGAGATGTCCGCGTTCAGTACAGCAACAACATCCGCTGGACCTTCCACCCGGGTGCACTCACCAAGGTAGGTCTGGACTTTAGTAAGTTTTTATTTATATACCGCCTTTTCACTGCAGATCTGAGTCTCAAAGCGGTTTACAATTGTTATTTTTGGGCATTTGTCTCTCACTCCACACAGAGATGGGAGCGGGGTCGCCAGTACAGGAGGCGCATGCCAGAACTATTGGACATATTTTTAGTGGTAGGGGAAACCGGAGTACCCGGAGGAAACCTACGCAGACACGGGGAGAACATGCAAACTCCACTCAGAAAGGCCCTGGTCCGACCGGGATTTGAACCCAGGACCTTCTTCCTGAGAGGCGAGAGTGCTATCCACTCAGCCACCGTGCCAGGGGTGTCAAAACCGGTTCCAGAAAGGGCCAGTTTTAGTGGCTGCAGGTTTTAGTTCCAACCGGAGCAGGAGCACAACAGACTCCACCCATTTCCCCTACTCTTCAGGTTAAAACTGGACTCACCTGAGGAAATGGGCGGTGTCTGGACTTAGGTTGGAACAAAAATCTGCAGCCACCTCGGCCTTTTGAGGACCAGTTTGTCTCCCCTGCTCTAACCATTCTCAAGGTCAATGTTGGAGAAAGGGGGAGGAGTTTATAAGTCCCCACTTCTTCCTTTTTGAGCACTTTCAAACACTCAGTACTGATCGATGTATGTGCTTATTCTTTAAATCATTATTCTGTATATATGTAAGTATGTAACATGTTCATACTAAGATTGCTCGAATAAAAAATAACTAACTAACATGTCACGGTGTCACGAACTAGCTCGGGTTTCAGACAAAAATGAGTCCACACATGTTTCAAAATGTACAAAAGTAGAATATTTATTTAAAGACCTTATGACGGGTTTTTAAAAAAAAAATAGTGGATATCAAAATTGCATGACAATGTCAATTTGAAAGAGATTCCGGCAAAAAAAATCCTATATTTTATAAAAAGAACGTGTTTTTCATGAATTTAAGTTGTCTATGCTCTAACCTGTGTGTGATGTCATAGCGGGTTACGCCCATGCATTGAAAACCATGGATCTATGCCACAGGACTGCCTTTTCTCTCTTCTCTCCACTGATGCCCAACACAATACTGCCCTCTACAGGTGACAATTGCTCACTACAAATAAATTGCCGTTTTGAGAGTGAAAAAGTGTCTCAGGTGGGATTTGAACCCAAGTATCTGGATTGGCAGTCCATCGACACAACCACTGGACTATCTCAGTGACAACGAAATGTCACAATCTAGTATTTATGTCAGACTCGCTGTACACGGCCTTGTCATCTTGAATATCCGCAAAAAAAGAACGAATACCAAATTGTAAACAACTTACAGCGTTGAAACGTACCCGTTCTGACGTCACCAAGGGCTGTGAAGTTTTTTCGTTTCTAAGGGCGTTGCTATGGGGTTATTTCGATTTGGGGGGATCAGACAAAAAAAAACAACAACTGATTTTGAAACCTTTAGTAGTTCTCTTCTAATATAAAATGGTATTAAAACTGTATTTCTAAATAAATCAAACCCGTCATAAGGTCTTTAAAAGTCTGCTACTGCCAGGGGAGAGACAGCCCCAATGACTTCCTGACTGCATTCCCATTGGCTGGATCCCGAAAGGAGTAGAAAGCCAGCAGCAACACACGAACCAGACTATACTGGGGTCCTCACAACGTCGAGTTACTTCCTGCATAACTCAAACCCAAAGAGCTGATCGAGGGCTGTATTTTCTCTGCCTTCAGGTGAATACGTTTGGAGTGGGGGAGCTGGTGCGAGTGCTGGAGGACATGGACAGTGTGAAGAGACTGCAGGCCGGACACGGAGAGTGGACCGACAGCATGGCTCCTGTACGCTCAGTCTCACCACCACGGAAAACATTTAGACACTCACTAAGTAACATCATAAAACATGTAATATGGTGTTCTTCCAAATTTACACACACATGATTTTAGACTCAGTTATTTGTATGGATTTAAAATGATTTATAACTGTGTTTCCCACCCAGGGGAGGAGCCGAGGGTTTAACATGGAGCACTTCAAATGATTTTTAAGTAGTATTGATTGAGGTTTTTATGGGTTGCCATGACATATTGTACTGTACATCATTTTAACGTTTATTCTTCCAAGAAAACAACCATATCAATTATTTCATGATTATTATTAAGTGCATTATAGGTTCATCCGTCTACAATACCAAGCTTAAAGGGACAAAAGGAGGCCATACCCTGTCAACACTGGCGAGGGCGGCGTGCTGCGGACAAAACTATTGTAAACCGCTGATTGAGAACATACTGTAGTAAATGGTATGAATGTTGATCATAACGTCATATGCCCTAAATTCTGGACTAAAAGACGCAGATTTTTGAATGGTGCTTATACTGAGGTGCAGCTTATACTGAGGTGCGGCTTATACTGAGGTGCGGTTTATACTGAGGTGCGGTTTATACTGATTTGCGGCTTATACTGAGGTGCGGCTTATACTGGGGTGCGGCTTATACTGATTTGCGGCTTATACTGAGGTGCAGCTTATACTGAGGTGTGGCTTATACTGATTTGCGGCTTATACTGAGGTGCAGCTTATACTGAAGTGCGGCTTATACTGATTTGCGGCTTATACTGAGGTGCGGCTTATACTGAGGTGTGGCTTATACTGATTTGTGGCTTATACTGAGGTGCAGCTTATACTGAGGTGCGGCTTATACTGATTTGCGGCTTATACTGAGGTGTGGCTTATACTGAGGTGTGGCTTATACTAAGGTGTGGCTTATACTAAGGTGTGGCTTATACTGAGGTGTGGCTTATACTGATTTGTGGCTTATATTGATTTGCGGCTTATACTGGGGTGCGGCTTATACTGAGGTGCGGCTTATACTGAGGTGCAGCTTATACTGAGGTGTGGCTTATACTGATTTGCGGCTTATACTGAGGTGCAGCTTATACTGAGGTGCGGCTTATACTGATTTGCGGCTTATACTGAGGTGCGGCTTATACTGATTTGCGGCTTATACTGAGGTGCGGCTTATACTGAGGTGTGGCTTATACTGATTTGTGGCTTATACTGATTTGCGGCTTATACTGGGGTGCGGCTTATACTGGGGTGCAGCATAATTTTCGTTTTCTTTTTCCCTGTTTCCGGTAGAATTAATGAGTCGTTCACAGAGGTTTCATTAAATTGTATGATCTTTCAATCACTCATTTTCACTCAACCTCAACATGTAAAATACTATAAGAAAAGTATAGTTCTCATACTTTGAACATTTGTGCATTGCTAATACAAACATTATGCTATATTTAAAGGTTACATGTATTTAAAAAGTATTTGTTTGTCACCGAGCAGATTGATTAAGTAAAATAATTCTCTCTTAAAGGTAGTTTTTACTCCCATCTGGCTTTGAGATCATACAGTATATTGTAGTTTATGGTACTACGGTGGGTTCGAAGAACAAAACAGTATATGGTCTTTGATAGTGGTCCCCGACTCCTTTTTGTCCCTTATCAGCCACTGTATTATAAGACCTGTAGAGTCCTCCAGCCTCATGGACATTTATAAATCATATTCTAAGTCTATGACAAGAATTCAAAAACACGGTGAAGGTAAATAATCTCAAAAAGGTCAAATTAGTTTTTTTTAACATGTTTTTTCATTTGGAGCAACTGTAAAAATTACACCCAAATTGTTAAAATTACACATTAATTACCTTCAGTATCTTTGTGTAAATATTTCATACAATAAACAGTTTTTGGGTTCTTTGTATAGACATGAAAGTGAAAAGAAATCAGTAGATTAAGGATTAAGAAAAGCCAGTGACTCATTTTGAGCTGATTTTTTTTAAATATTACATTGTGGGATATGTGCGGCTTCAATTTGTATCTAAAAATGTGCGGCTGGGGCTTATAATCAGGTGCGGCTTATAGTCCGGAAAATACGGAAAATAGTTCATTTCAAAAACGTCCAAAAACAAGCTTGTTGCGTAGTGTCAGATACTGATCGAATGTTTAATGTTGACGCAATATTTCCTTCCATGCATTGTTTTCTCGTAGAATCACCCTGTATTTCGCACATTGTTCTGAGTTTGAAAGTCTGTATCCTGCTCCTCAGGTCTTGGGCCAGATGGGAAAAGTGCTGAAAGTGTACGCGGACGGTGACCTGCGGGTGGCGTTCGGGGCCCAGACCTGGACCTTCAACCCGGCCTGTCTATCAGCGCAGCCCGTGGAAGTGGACGCCAACCTCATGACGACCGAGAACCCCTCTGAATCCGGAAGTAAGGCCTCACTTCGGGCCCGCAGGCGCCGCTCGGCCACTTCCGCTGCAGCTTGCATTAACCCCGCCCATTACGCCACTGCCTCATCCCTTTTTTGTTCGCATGCAAGCAACTTCTCTCTACCTAACATGTCTTTTTTGTTTTAGGGAAACTCTAATAATGCTTGGTTTGGGTCATGACTCGTGTTTCAAATTGCTTCTGTTTTTATGCATGTCCTCATTGTGCATGTTTTTACTCCATTTTGATCCATTTTGGGCATATGTTGTTACTTGTCTCATGTTGTTTGGCCCTGTCCTGCAAAAACACTCGTCAGCAGATAGTAACCTTGGATGTGGATGTCATTAAGTTTTCTGTTTCTTGTGTGCGTGTGTGTGTGTGTGTGTGTGTGTGTGCGTGTGTGTGTGTGCGTGTGTGTGTGTGTGTGTGTGTGTGTGTGTGTGTGTGTGTCCAGGCACAGTGATTTCCGTACTGGAGAAGCTTTTGGCTCAGTCCACGGAGCAGGACAACCCGAGCCGGCTGGTGATTGAGGCGGCTCATGGCAACGCCGGAAAAGTGCGCGAGCTATTACAGAAGTACCCTGACAAGGTGAGTGCAGCAGTGTCCTCTGTGCTGCAGTCCAGGGGGGGTGGGGGGGGTGTGGAGGCAGAAACAGGGTAAAAACTATAATCCATTAAAGCTTGACCATCATACCACAAATGTATGGTATCAGCAAGAAGGTCCTGGGTTTGAATATACTCAGTCCCACAGAGATTGAAAACCAACACATTAAAATTACATTAGAATGACTTATAAGAATTGCGCATCAAGTAAAACAATAACGCGTGACTGAGGCAGCCTTAAATTCTCTCAATTTCAACTTAAAAGTATTTGAAGATTAAACAACAAACAAATTAGCTCTAAAACCTCACATCATCAGGTCCGTTTTTTCAGACCAAAAGGTGAAAAAGAGACCACCCACACTCTGCCAATCAGCTCTCAGCCCAAAGCTTCAGAAAGTGACACCGTTCGCAATAATGGAATGTATTTTTAGAGAGTGGCAAAGACTTATTTAAAGCTACATGTATATGAAAACTAGTGACAGAAGCAAACCGTTCTGAACAGCACGGAACAGAGGAGACTTTATTATGTAGTTATATATATTTTGTGGTTTGAAAGAGTACTTTAGCTTTAAGATAAGAAAAACTAAACTTGCAAAATAAGATTAATACACAAGACTAACAAAAATATATATGTCAAATTCGAGCAGTATGTGCCATTGACCCCTCCGACATCGACACGCACACACACACACACATTCATTCTATGTGGGTGAAGTGTTTTGCCGAAGGACGCAACAATAGCTTAGCACATCACCACCGCTCCACTGAGGCTCCTGATGTTCCTGGAGGTCTCCCATCCCAGCACTAACCAGGCCTGACTTGCTTAGCTTCTGAGGTCTGATGGGATTAGGCTTTACACAAATGAATAGATGAAACTGCAGATAAAGTCACCAAACAGTGGCTAAACTACTGTGACAGAACACTGGACAGCAGTCGGCAGTGTTCATTGTACAGCCTGACGGTAAATCACACGCTAACATTAATGGACTTGCTGAATCCATGCAGAGCTAATAACTCACATGTGTGGGTCCTGCCTGACGTGCGCGCTCCATGTGACGCTCTGGATTATGGATAATCTGCATCATAGTCCGGTCTCAGGTCCGTCGGTCCAGTCGTTGCCGTGACGATGCTGCGCTCCGTCTGCTCCTTCCAGGTGGACGTAAAGAACCAGGGCAAGACGGCCCTCCAGGTGGCCTCTCACCAGGGACACATGGAGGTGGTGAAGGCCCTGCTGCAGGCCAACAGCTCCGTCGAGATCAAGGACGAGGACGGAGACACAGCTCTGCACTACACCGCCTTTGGGTAAAGCTTGTAGCGTAGGACTGAGCTGGAACCACTAACTAAGACAGAGAGGTTACTCCACACATGGGCAAGGCCAGGCAGGGGAAGTTTAATTGTATTCTTGGGTTTCATTAAACTGGCCTGTAGGGGGCGAATGAGCAGAGATGGGACAGTTTTTCTTCCATTGAAAACCATGTAAAGTCTGTTTTGGAGTCAAAGGCTCTCCTCCTGTGCGCTGTACGGTTGTTGGAACAGTCTTAATCGGAGACACTCAATTCTAAGGGAGAACTAAAACATATTTCTCAAAATAGGGAAAAAAAACAGAAGAAATTGCTGCGTTTCATTGGGGTGGCCTGCAGGGGGCGCTTATCTGGGAAAGCCTTGATCCACCTCGGCCGCCTCATTCCAGTGATGTTTTCAAAGTGTGAGACCACAGTTGGAACATGAACAAACTCTGGTCTTTCTCTCTATTTGTGCGGTTGCTACAAACGTACACCGCACACAAAGATGGCATTTTGACAGCGCTTCTTCTTCTACTATATCTCCGTGTATAAACCACTTCTTCTTCTACTGTATCTCTGTGTATAAACCCGGCAGACTGCACCGCCAGGATACGTCACGTCCTGTTCCACGTTTGTTATTCGCACCACTGCCCTGACGTCATATGAAACCCAAGAATAGTGCAAGTGCTGAAAAAAAAACATTGAATTTTTTTGTATTGATTTTTTAATCAAGGACCTACTATTCTTTTTCATGCTGAATTGATTGACCAAACAGACACTTCAAAGCACTACTGCCTTTTTATTTTTCATTCAAGCAGATCTGTGTAGCACTGTATCCTAGATTTGCCTTGGGACAATAACGTTTATCTTATCTTATCTTAACATAGCATTATAATCTTGCAGGTGTCCAGTAGCAGCAAAAACACATCCATCCAAACAAACAAAACAATTATTTGATCATTCTAAAAAGCTAATTGTAAAACACAAAAACAACAACTGTTTTAGAGATACTTTTAACCTTCTGCCGTTTCCTGCACATTCAAAAGTAAATTTTAGCATGAATCTGAAATGCAGCCTCCCTGTGTTTAGTTCTGACTCTGGGACCAGCAGGAGGCCAGTCCCTGTGCTCCTCAGAGTCCACAGCAGGAGGCCAGTCCCTGTGCTCCTCAGAGTCCCAGCAGGAGGCCAGTCCCTGTGCTCCTCAGAGTCCACAGCAGGAGGCCAGTCCCTGTGCTCCTCAGAGTCCCAGCAGGAGGCCGGTCCCTGTGCTCCTCAGAGTCAGAGTTGGTTCTTGTGGCACTAACATGTCACAGACTTTGGTTCGAGGCCATGGAGAGACTTGTAACAAAAAGGGTTGTTTTAAATAAAATCCAGCAGTCTTCAGGTCTCAGCAGCAGAGGTGGATCCTGGTTCAGACCATTTTCTCTGCTCTGGTCCAAAGGAAAATGCTAAAGGCTTTGTTAGCATTATCAAAAAGTTAGCATTCCTCCAGTGGATTTTCACCTGATCCACTTGGTTTGGACCATGAATCCTCTCTGCTCTGGTCTGGACCAGTGTAAAACCATGAATTGCTGCAGTTTCCAGAACATTCTAAAGTAAACCACGGTTAAAAGTTACCAGCTCGACTCCAGCACAGTCTTACTCACGACGTCTGCAGCCGCCGTACGATCTTTTCGTGTTTTCCAGGGTCTACTTTTCTGGCCTGTGCCTCCTGTTTGGCGACCAACATTTACATCACTAAAATAAAAAGCATTTCTCGTCTATTTCAGGCTGAACACTGATGTTTCCGATTCTCAGGCCACTTCCTTATTTGGCTCCGAGCTTCGAGTCAAATATTTTTATGGGTCCCTTAAAATAACTCGACATGTAACAGCGCCGTGTGCACCAAAAATAAATCCAAAACAGATCCTTGGGGCTTAACCACATGTGCCAAATATAGTAAATTCATGAGAGCAAATTAAAACTAAAATCCCTGAATTTGGACTCCCTCATGAGGAAACATATAACATAACTTTATTGATCTTTATTTGTATTATATTTTTTATTAAGGACCATAAAAATAACAAAGAAACACAAGGAAGGACAAAAAAAATGATAGTAATAATAACAAAATGACAAAACAAGGATTTCTTTCACATTCACAAAAAAACTAAAAATGTCTAATAATCACATTTTCTTTCCAATGACAAGGCATCAAACATTATCTTCCTCCTTTTAGGCTGTTTTTTCTGTTCTTTACTGATCTTTGAACCATGTTACAACATTGTCCCTGATTAAAAACAGACCTGGAGTTGTTTTTAGATCCACCATTCGAGGAACTTCTGGCTCAAACATGTAGCTCCGCCCCTTCTGTCTAAAAGCTACTGTCTCCGTCTGGCAATAGTGTGTGCATTTTAACACTACCACATCCCGCTCAGAGCAGGATTCACACTTTTAAAACTAAAATATTGCCCATAAATTAGTTTCGGCAAAATCTCAACCGCTCCTTCTGATGGTAGCAGCGGAAAGCATTCTTCACACATTTGATTCCCATTGTATTTTCTGCTTATATGATTTCACAAGCAAACAAACACATCAGAGGTTTGTTTAATATTTAAAAAAATAATCATGAAGGGGTTATGTTTTAGGTTTCCTGGAAATGTAAGGTGAAATATAAAAGTTATTATTATTAGTGTTGGAACATGTGCAGCCAACCCCAAAATGAATGCATGGTTTGGTATGTACTTTATTTGAACAGGGACAGTGTAGAATTAAACATTAACAGAAAGGAGAGATGATTGTACCAGGTTTTAGCAAAGATAAATAGATACTTGATTGATCCCTGTAGGAGAAATTCAGGTGTCCAGTAGCAGCAAAAATAAAACAATAAAAGGATGATTCTAAAAAGCTAACAATAGTAAAAAACATAATAATACATCAGTCCTTCAGGTCACAGCAGCAGAGGTGGAGCCGCTTGGTTTGGACTATGAATCCTCTCTGCTCTGCTCTGGACCAGTGTAAAACCATGAATCCTCTCTGCTCTGCTCTGGACCAGTGTAAAACCATGAATCCTCTCTGCTCTGCTCTGGACCAGTGTAAAACCATGAATCCTCTCTGCTCTGGTCTGGACCAGTGTAAAACCATGAATCCTCTCTGCTCTGGTCTGGACCAGTGTAAAACCATGAATCCTCTCTGCTCTGGTCTGGACCAGTGTAAAACCATGAATCCTCTCTGCTCTGGTCTGGACCAGTGTAAAACCATGAATCCTCTCTGCTCTGGTCTGGACCAGTGTAAAACCATGAATCCTCTCTGCTCTGGTCTGGACCAGTGTAAAACCATGAACACTGAACTGCAGCAACATCTCAAACAAGCAATAAAAATAAAAATTGTAAAACACAAAACAACAACTTTTTCAGAGACACTTTGGACTTGGACTGACGTTTGTTTTGTGTGTGTGTGTGTGTGTGTGTGTGTGTGTGTGTGTGTATCTGTGTATGTGTGTGTGTGTGTGTGTGTGTGTGCGTGTCCATGCGTGTGTGTGTGTATAGAAACCAGGCGGAGGTGGCGCGGCTGCTGCTGAGTAAAGGGGCCAATGTGAACATGCTGAATAACTCCATGTGCTCCGCTCTGCACATCGCCGTCAACAAGGGCTACAGCGACGTGGTGCGCGTCCTGACCGAGCACGCCGCCGACGTCAACCTACAGGTCAGAGAACACACGCAGATGTTTTCAAATAGACACGACCAGATGTAGCCTCAAAAGTTGTGTTGTTTTGAAGTCGGATTTTCTAAAACACCAACAATGGCTGAACAGAAAACCCCCAAAAATGACAATTCCCTGTTTGCCAATGTGTTGTATAAGAGGACGCATTCAGGGTTCTGCGATGCTACGGCAGTCCAGTTTTGCTAATGCTAGTTTGTTTTGGAAAGTATTGTCACAGTTTGTCATATTTACAACCACACGCCAACAAAATCATCCTAGAATTATACATACAAAATAATAAAGAAATAAAAACTGAAAGGTGGGGCAGCATTAGCTTGCTCTTATCCTCCCGTACTCTGCGCTCAATCATCATGTCCTGCATGTAGCGTCTGGGTCTGGTCCCTGTGTTTGAGATTACAATCGGTTGAATTCCATCCGACCAATCAGAGAGCGCGGGAGGCGGGTGTTGTATAACCTTGCCTGCAAGCTGAATTCTCGCGGTATTTGTGAGTTCACAAACACTCGAGAGAGAATCGCGGAGAACGCGTTAGAGTTCTACACAATCATCAATCTGGCTTTTGCCAGGTTAGGTGTTGTAGTTAGATGTGGGTGACGTCAAGAGTTTGCGTCGAACGGGCAGGTTGTAGTTTGGTGAAGAATGTGATAGTAAAGTATTCAGGTCTGGTTCTATCAAAAAATTGAAGCAGGAGCAAGAAGAATGTTTAGCAAATGTAATCGCTGGTAAAGATTAAAGCGCTACTCCCCACGGGCTCTGTTAGCGGCAAAGGAGATGGCTAAAGCTAGGCTAAATGCTAAATACTAACAACTCACCCCGGCTCATCACACACGTCACAGTAAACTCAGATCCAATTGTTCCAATCTGCAAAAGGAGTTAGCCCCTCCCACCTGTTCACGGAGTCAATGGAGCAAATCCAGTATGAAATGTAGTTTGTACTATGGTGTGGTACGACCAGGCTAGGGCTAAATACATAAAAAAATACTTTGTAATCACAGCGGCGAGTCATTGAGGGCAGGACTCTTCACTGGTTCTTTGTAGAAGGTGGTTGATAAAAAAGTATGAAAAATTTGTTATGAATCAATACAAAAACAATAATCAAAACGAGAGACTAATTTCAGCATGTACTGTATAAATACTAAATAAAAATATGCTTCTTTATTTTTTTTCAAAGCTATTTCAAAAGAACTTGTATTGTCATATTGTCTGCAGGACTCGTACGGGGACACGCCGCTGCACGACGCCATCGCCAAAGACTTCCGGAACATCATCGAGGTCCTGGTGGTGGTTCCCAGTATAGACTTCACTCAGCAGAACCACCGCGGCTTCAACCTGCTGCACCACGCCGCGCTCAAGGGCAACAAGCTGTAAGTGCACACGGTAACCCGGGGCAACACACAAACACACAAACACACAAACACACATACACACAGACACACAGACACACAGACACACAGACACACAGACACACAGACACACAGACACACATACACACATACACACAGACACACAGACACACAGACACACAGACACACAGACACACAGACACACAGACACACAGACACACAGACACACATACACACATACACACATACACACAGACACACAGACACACAGACACACAGACACACAGACACACAGACACACAGACACACAGACACACAGACACACAGACACACATACACACAGACACACAGACACACAGACACACATACACACATACACACAAACACACAAACACACATACACACATACACACAGACACACAGACACACAGACACACAGACACACAGACACACAGACACACAGACACACAGACACACATACACACAGACACACAGACACACAGACACACATACACACATACACACATACACACAGACACACATACACACAGACACACATACACACATACATACACATTAGAGTTTCGCTTTTCAGCCCGAGCCCGAGCAGGCCCGAGGCCCGACCTGAGTTCGGGCCGGGCTCGGGCCTCATTTGGCGCTCAGCTGTCGGGTTCAGTGTTGCCAACTCCTCAGTAAGGAAAGTAGCTATTGGCTGTCTCAAAAGTCGCTAGAAGTCGCTAAATGACGTCATCGCCTAATTTGCATAATTGGCAATTTGCAAATAACTGTAACGGACGCTGTAGGAGAGAGGAATAAGGTCGTGGAAGAGACAAAAGTGAGTAAAAAACACCCTACATATGTTTAGAACTACAAATGTACAAAAATAATTTCAACATTAACAACATTTAATGATTTTAATGCTTTGTCTAGATCTGTCGCTAGTCGCTTTTTTGAAAAAAAGTCGCTATAGGGTCTGAAAAGTCGCTAAATCTAGCGACAAAGTCGCTAAGTTGGCAACACTGGTCGGGTTCGTGCCGGGCTCGGGCTTCTTTTTTTAAATATATGTTTCTTTTTTATTATTATTATAATTATTTTTAAATGATTTTTATACATAATGATTTGCATATATATATATATATATATTAATAACAATGTCCGTTGATTGACAACAAGTTATTAAAAAAAGTGAATATATTAATGACACCGTAACCAGCGTGTCCTACAGCAGCAGCGAGCCGTGAACGCATCATCCCCGTGTCTCCTGCTGCTGTGGTCAACAGCGAACAGGAACAATAGTAGAAATGGATCAAGTGGAGACAAAACAAATTCAAAAGTGGAGACTAAACTTGCAATTGGAAGATGAGTGCGTACAACGGGAAATCAGATGTGTCGGGTTCTGTCGGGCTCGGGCCTGTTATACAGCGTTCATTGGTCGGGCTTATACAGGCTCGGGATTAACATTAGCGGGCTCGGGCCGGGTCGGGCTTCATTTTTCAGGCCCGAACGAAACTCTAATACACATACACACAGACACACATACACACAGACACACATACACACAGACACACATACACACATACACACAGACACACAGACACACAGACACACATACACACAGACACACATACACACAGACACACATACACACATACACACAGACACACAGACACACATACACACAGACACACATACACACAGACACACAGACACACATACACACAGACACACATACACACATACACACAGACACACATACACACAGACACACAGACACACAGACACACAGACACACAGACACACAGACACACATACACACAGACACACAGACACACAGACACACAGACACACAGACACACATACACACAGACACACAGACACACAGACACACATACACACAGACACACAGACACACATACACACATACACACAGACACACAGACACACATACACACAGACACACATACACACATACACACAGACACACAGACACACATACACACATACACACATACACACAGACACACAGACACACAGACACACAGACACACAGACACACAGACACACATACACACAGACACACAGACACACATACACACATACACACATACACACAGACACACAGACACACAGACACACAGACACACAGACACACATACACACAGACACACATACACACAGACACACAGACACACAGACACACATACACACATACACACATACACACAGACACACAGACACACAGACACACAGACACACAGACACACAGACACACATACACACAGACACACAGACACACAAACACACAAACACACATACACACAGACACACAGACACACATACACACAGACACACATACACACAGACACACAGACACACAGACACACATACACACATACACACAGACACACATACACACAGACACACATACACACAGACACACATACACACAGACACACATACACACATACACACAGACACACAGACACACATACACACAGACACACATACACACATACACACA